TTCATACACAAGGCAACTCAAAGTGCTGAACAAGGCACAATAAACACAGAAAGGATTTAAATCCCCCCAGTTATTCACAGCTAAACTGAACTGATCTAACCAGGATTGTGAACATTTCAGACATAAAGCTTCTCCAATTTCAGAAGACTCTTCCAATTATAAGCTGCATAAATCTAAATTGCTGCCTCCCCATGTATTTAGTCCTGACTCAGGGACTAGCAAGAGTCCCAGTCCCAGTGCTCCTCAGATGTCACCAGCAGGAGACCAGTCCTGTGCTTCATCGATTCCCAGCAGATGCCAGCATCTCCAGTTGCTCCTCAGAGTCCCAGCAGGAGTCCAGTCCGTGCTCATCAGAGTTTCCCAGCATGAGGCCAGTCCCTGTGCTCCTCAGAGTCCCACAGAGTCCAGTCCCAGATGCTCCTCATAGTCCCCCAGCATCGAGCCAGTCCCTGTCTCCTCAAAGTCCCAGCAGGAGTCCCAGTCCCTGTGCTCCTCAAGTCCCAGCACGAGGCACAGACCCAGTGATCCTCAGAGTCCCAGCAGGGAGGCCAGTCCTTGTGCTCCTCAGAGCAGGAGGCCATCCCCGTGCTCCTCAGAGTCCCAGCAGAGGCCAGTCCCCTTGCTCCTCAGAGTCCCACAGGAGACAGTCCCTGTGCTCCTCAGAGTCCCAGCACAGCCAGCCCTGAGCTCCTAGAGTCCAGAGAGGCCATCCTTGTCTCCTCAAGCAGGAGGCCAGTCCCTTGTGCACCTCAGAAGTCTGATTAAGAACAAACGAGTGGGGCAAAAAAGTCACCACGCGACTGTGCAAGTTCTCCCACTTAAACTAAAGACAGAGTCTGTAATGTTCATCATAGGATCACTTCAACTGTGAGAGACAGAATGTGAAAAGAAAATCCAGGAATTCACATCTGTAGATTTTTAAAGAATTTCTTTGTAAATGAATGTTGGAAAATAAGTATATTGGTCAATAAACAAAAATTCAACTCAATACTTTGATAATATAACCTTTGTTGGGCAAAAACAGAGGTCAAAACGATTACTATAGTCTTACCAGGTTTGCACACAGTAGCTGGTATTTTGGCCCATATCCTCCATGCAGATCTTCTCGAGGAGCAGTGCACACGGACTTTACAACTCCCTACAACAGATTTTCAATGGGGTTTGAGGTCTGGAAGACTGGCTCCAGACTTTCAAATGCTTCTACGGAGCCACTACCTTTCGTTCCCCGGGGCGGTGGTGTTTGGGATCATTGTCCATGCTGGAAGACCCAGCCACACGTTTCATCTCAAAGCACTCACTGATGAAGGAAAGGTTTTTGGCCAAAACTCTCACGATACATGGCCCCATTCATGCTTTCCTTAACACGATCAATCTGTCCTGCTCCCCTTAGCAGAAAAAACAGCCCCAAAGCATGACGTTTCCACCCCCATCAGCTTCACAGTTGGTATGTGTACTTGGGATGTTAGCTCAGTATCTATACCTCCTAACACGACGAGTTATTATACCAAACAGTTTGTACCTATTGGTTTCATCAGACTCACCATGACATTCTCTCCCAAACCCTGCTTATCATCCATGTGCTCGTCTGGCAAACTTCAGCACGGGGCCTGGACAATGCACTGGCTATTCAGCAGGGGGACACTCTGCACTGCAGGAATATTGATTCCCTGTCGTCGTAAGTGAGTTACTGAGGTAACCTTTGTATACTTTGGTCCCACTCTCCTGCAGGTCCATCTTCACCAGGTCCCCCCCGTGTGGTATTCTGGGGTTATAATTTTATTTTTGATCACAATTATCAGTGGTCTTTTATGTCTTCCATTTTCTGATTAATTGCTCCCACATTTGATTTGTTCACCACCAAGCTGCTTGCCTATTGTAGATTCATCAACTCACACACCTTTTACACACATCACCTAAAAAAAACCAAGTTCAACCACTCACCTTTTTTTTCCCCTAGTCTGGTGCAGTCAACAATTCTTTTCCTGCGTCCTACGCAGCTCTTTGGTCTTGCCATAGTGGAGGTTGGAGTCTGACTGTTTGAGGCTGTGGACAGGAGTCTTTTATTAACAGATGAGTTCAACAGGTGCCATTATACAGGTAACGAGTGGAGGACAGAAGAGCTTCATTAAAGAAAAGTTACAGTCTGAGAGAGCCAGAGAACTCCTTTGTTTGAAGTGACCAATACTAATTTACTCCACCACAATTACAATAGATTTCTTTAAAAATCTACGATGTGAATTCCTCGATTTTTTTTCCCATTCTTTCTCTCACATTTGAAGTGAACCTATGATGAAAATTCCAGACCTCAGTCTTTTATTTAAAGTGGGAGAACTTGCACAATTGTGGCTGACTTATTTTGCCCCACAGTAAGATCTTAAATCGAACTCTGAGAGCACAGGGACTGCCTCCTGCACAGAGAGCACACAAGGACTGGCCTCCTGCTGGACTCTAGAGAGCAACAGGGACTGCACGTGCTGGACTTCTGAGGAGCACAGGGACTGGACTCCTGCTGGGACTCTAGGACAAAGGACTGGCCATCCTGCTAGGGACTCCTGAGGAGCACAGGGACTGGCCTCCTGCTTCCTAGGACACAAGGACTGGCCTCCTGCTGGACTCTGAGGAACAAGGGACAGGCCTCGTGCTGGGACACTGAGGAGCACAGGGACCTGGACTCCTGCAGGACTCTGAGAGCACAGGGACTGGCCTCGTGCTGGGACTATGAGGAGCACAGGGACAGGACTCCTTGCTGGGACTCTGAGGAGCACAGGTGACTAGGGCCCCTGCGGGACAACTGATTAGTCACAGGGACTGGACTCCTGTGGACTCTGAGAGCACAGGGACTGGCCTTCTCTGCGGGACTACGAAGAGCACCAAGCGTCCGCTGGGACTGGACTCCTGCTGGGACCTCGATGAGCACAGGGACTGGACTCCTTGCTAGTCCCAGAGTCAAGGACTAAAACATGGGGAGGCAGCATTTAAGATTTATGCAGCTAAAATCTGGAAGAGTCTTCCTGAAAATGTGAGACAGTCTACTAGACTGACAATGTTGTACAAATCCAGGTTAAGAACAGTTCAGTTTAGGACTGTGATAACTGTGGGATTCCTATCTTTCTTTTCTTGTGTTTATTGTTCCTTGTACAGCCACTTTGAGTTGCCTTGTGGTATGAATGTGCAATAAATAAACCTGCCTTTCCTCTGTCCTTACACGCTTTGCATTCGCTTTACAGTCTAGTTCACAGCAGAATTTGAAATATACATTTCAAATGTATAGAACCGACACATGCGTATATATGTTGCCGGCTCAGAAGGCCGACATCATCCCGGCCAAACAATGTCAGGTGCTGTGGAACCAGAGCCCCTTAATGAAAAGTGGCTACAGGAACAAGGTGAAAGTGCCCACTAAGCAAGCCGACGTTGAATCAACGTAATTTGAACGTCGTTGTCCGACGTAGAATAGAGGTCACTGGTGGGTGCAGAATGAAAGTTTTCTCGACGTCGTTTCCCGACGTCACTTCAACCTCCAAAATGTTACGTTGATGGCACGTCAATTCAAGGTTTGAATGTGGTACGGAACCGGTCGGGTCTGACGTCCTATCAACGTCTCATATGACCAAAATATTGACGTTTATATGACGTTCGTTTTCAGTCGTTCCCACTAAAGCAAGCAGATGTCAAAACTATGTCATTTCAACGTCATCTGGACGTTCATTCAAGGTTGCAATGTGGTACAGAACCGGTCGGGTCCCGACGTCCTATCAACGTCTTATATGACCAAAATATTGCCTTCATATGACGTTCGTTTTCCGTTGTTCCCACTAAGCAAGCAGATGTCAAAACTATGTCATTTCAACGTCATCTGGACGTTATCTGGACGTTCAAATGGACATAGCGCGGCCACTTCATTCAAGGTTGCAATGTGGTACAGAACCGGTCGGGTCCGACGTCCTCTCGACGTCTTATATGACCAAAATATTGACGTTTATATGACGTCCATTTACAGTCCTATTGACCTCTGCAGAATCACTCACTGGTCGAGACATACTTTTTGCAATAGGCAAGGCAAGTTTATTTGTATAGCACAGTCAAAACAAAAGGAAACTCAAAGCACTGAACAAAAGATAGAAACAATCAAACAAGGCATTACAATTATAAATATTGACTGTAAATTAAAAAGAAACAAATAAAATCTCTCATAAAATCTCTCAGTTGAAGCAGAAACAGAAGGTGTTTTAAACCTGGATTTTAACATTGTCAAAGAAGAAGCCTGTCTCACATTTCCAGGAAGACCGTTCCAGATTTTAGCCTTGTGAATCTGAAATGCAGCTTTATCATGTTTAGTTCTGACTCTGGGCAATAAACGATAAACACAGCATTCAAAAATCATTAGCAAATGGAGCTGCATTAAAAATCATGTTTCTCTACATCAAAGTACAAGTTAAACCACACAGGGCACAGTGTTATGAACACTACTGTACTGAACAGTTCATGCCAAAGTAAAAAAACATGATTGTAGCGCCTATGTTTGGATCAGTATTAAAACAGGCACAAGCTACACTCTAGGTTCCCCAGATGTAAAAACACAATCTGAAAGGCAGAAGAATGCATTTATTGAATGTTGAGGTTCCAACATGTGTCCTCTCTTGGTCTTCAGTCTCATAAGGTCCAAGCACAGCACCTGAAAATGTGGAACATGTTTAGTTTCAACATAATGTGGCAAAGTGATATAACAACACATAACTTTCTATTAATGCCTCAAACCACTCGATCCATCACCATGTGATACAAACCTTGGCACTAGCTCGAGACACTGGAAGACACTCCGTCTGAGAGAAACTTGGGATAAGGCTTTGGTCATTGGAGTAATTCCATGTAAAAAACAATTGCAAATGTGCATTTGTTTTGCACATGGACACAAATGAGCCCTGAAAGCTACTTACCCTGTATTACTCTACACATGTTGCATTTCCGAGGGGGCATTTTCCCCTTGTTGCTCTTTTCCCTCATCTTGAGTGAGTTGCTGAACAATCTGAGAAAAAGATAGATGTTTTCAAAGAGAATACACCAAATAATGGTTTATTCTAAAAACAACATATTAATACAGAACAACAATCAATGTGTGAGAGTGTGATTCTTACCTTTGAACACCTTCAACACAGTCTGACACCTGTAAGACTCAAACACACATGACACATTAGGAATACACATAGAACATTAGTTATTGCAACAATCATGAAATTATACTCTATGGATTTCACAATAATTGACTGCATTAGCAAAGGTAAATGTATTTTAATTAACATATGGCTGGTTTTAAAGTTTATAAGAAAAAGTAAGAAATTGAATAGAGTTGCAAGCGCTAGTTAGCTTGCTACCAGCAGATGAATGGATATTTAATATTTGCAGCTAACAATAACAAAAATAACAACTGTAGTGGCTCATTTAAACAGCCACAGTGAGAAGAAGTGAAAGTCTCTGACATTGAAGACCTGGGAAGACATTAAATCAATTTATTAAACAAAGCAATACATGAACATTAAACTCTCTGTCTGCAGCAGGTAACATCTGTGTGCTCCTATGGTCCCACATGGTCCCACACCTGAACTCAACTCCAACTGATGACATCACAGGTGTCTAAATGATGGGAGTGTCCCAAATATTAAAGCTGATCTCCCTGTTTTTAAACTTAGTTTACTAAGTACTGTTGTCTTTTTGCAGTTTATAAACCATTGTGAAATATACAGTAACTTTACATTTTAGAATTGAATTATTATTTTAAAACTCAAGAATCTTAACCTTTTTTAACACATACTTTGTTGGACAGTCTAACCTAAGAATTCTAATGTGTTAAAAATAGTTTGAAATATGAAAAACAATATCATATTTTAAACTTTAACTTAAAAACTAAAAAAAGGTGTCTCCCTTTCAGCTGAGCAGTGCCAGCCGTTATTATTATAGATTCATGCACTGGCAATTCAAAATACAGATAATATACAAAATATACTTAACAAAATCCACGTATACGTGAGAAAACAACTTACTTTCTGTCTCCAACTCTTTTCAATGTGGAAATGATACATCTATATCTAAAAACTGTGCAGACTGTGTACTTACTAGAGAGGATGATTCCAAGTAAATAAAGCAGGGCAGCGACAGAGGTACAGATTCAACGTCATATCAACGTCTGGGAAGACATTGCTTTACGTCCAGATGCACACCTTACGTCGTTTAGACGTGGAAAACTGGTCCTCGACCGAGCGACTCACGTGTCAGGCTGTAAAGTTATAAGTTATACTCGCGCGGCGCATAAGTGTGCGTCGGTTGTTTAGGGTGTTATCTATTATTTTTTCACAGTAGTCAGAAGAAATGCCTGGCCGTGGTGTAGCGGTTGCGTAATGAGACTTCAGTCGCAACGACGCGGGTTCAAATCCCCGTCGGAAAACTTTTGACTTTCCACTTTTTAGCGAACAATTTTTCTGTTTGGTTAAAAACGAATAAACACTCAACATAAGATTATGTAGTGGCTAATAATAAAACTTGTGAACCCATGCATTTGCATAAAATCTCAAGTGCTCACCCCTTATTTGCAAACTTGAGATTGTTAGCACAACAAATGCATACATTCACAAGTTTTATTATTAGCCACTACGTAATCCTATGTTGAGTGTTTATTAGTCTTTAACCAAACAGGAAAAAATTGTTCGTTAAAAATCAAAACAAATATATAAAGATAATAATGCACACACGTGGGCTCGAACCCACGTAACCAAGACTGCACACGTTTGCTTAACCACTACACTACCTTCAGGTTCACTTATATTGCTTCACAGCCTTTATATTGTATTGCTAGATCAAGACGTACTGCGTCGGTCGGCCGATGACCTGTTTTCGACGTCTAGGGGAGGTCGGGATTGAACGTCATATCCACGTATATGGGAGGTCATTGTTTTACGTCCAGATGCGCACCTTGCACAGACGTCGTTTGGACGTAAATAAAAGGTCACGACCGACCGACGCGATATTGACATGATCTGGAGGTTGAGTGGACGTCGGATGTTTAGTGGGATTGGACACTCATTTATACAGTTTATCAGGAAAAAAAAGTGGATTTGAGGGTGAGTTACTCTTTGCCTCTGGCAGTCAGAAAGGATGAAATAGAACCGATGGATTTAAAAATAAATAAAAAGCTTTGTATGAAAAGGGACAATTAATTACCCAAAGAAATCCTCCTTTGTGAAAGCTGTAGGTTCCCTGTTAGCTGAGAACGAGCTGTTTTAAAGTGATAGTCTGTCACTTTAAATGAATTACAAATTTTAGGAAATTTGTTAAATTGACCTCCTGGCCTTAAATGTTGATATAAAATAAGCCATTTTATTAATTCAAATATTACGGGCAAGTCCCGCCTTCCCTTTTCTTAGCTATAGCTCAGAATCCACGATGCCATCCATGTTAACCAATCGAGTCATGCCGAGGGCTGTCAATCATCAGCGCTGATGCCCGTAGCTGCGCGCATGCTCAGTTGTTTGTTTTTGCGGAACCTCCAAATCAAGCGTCTATTAGGCTCTGGAACTTCATGAAAACTGAACAAAGAATTCTGAACAACCGCGCTGAGGTACTCATTTATAAACTGAACCTATATCCATAACCAGATCCTCTGCAGATGTGTCCTATAATGTGCAATTCATGATAAGAGCTTCTTCCGGGTTTGCCGCGATCGCTTTTTTAATTATTATTATTTTATTATTTTTTTTTTCATTCAAACATTAACAAATAATTTTGAAAACCTCTGTGCATGTGTATTAAAGGCGCTATACCCGTTTCTGCAATGTTTGAATGTTTAGCACCGCCCCCCAACTCGCTCACAGGCTTCTCATTTCCCCTACGCTCTCATCCCACGGAGCCATCCATCCATCCATCCATCCATTTTCTTCCGCTTTATCCGTTGCCGGGTCGCGGGGGCAGCAGTCTAAGCAGAGACGCCCAGACTTCCCTATCCACACACACCTCCTCCAGCTCGTCCGGGGGGACCCCAAGGCGTTCCCAGGCCAGCTGAGAGACATAGTCTCTCCAGCGTGTCCTGGGTCTTCCCCGGGGCCTCCTCCCGGTGGGACGTGCCCGGAACACCTCCCCAGGAAGGCGTCCAGGAGGCATCCTGAACAGATGCCCGAGCCACCTCAACTGGTTCCTCTCGACGTGGAGAAGCAGCGGCTCTACTCCGAGCTCCTCCCGTGTGACCGAGCTCCTCACCCTATCTCTAAGGGAGCGCCCAGCCACTCTGCGGAGGAAGCTCATTTCGACCGCTTGTATCAGCGATCTCGTTCTTTCGGTCATTACCCAAAGCTCATGACCATAGGTGAGGGAGGGAACGAAGATTGACCGGTAAATCGAGAGCTTCGCCTTTCGGCTCAGCTCCCTCTTTACCACAACGGTCCAATACAGCGACCGCATCACTGCGCACGCTGCACCGATCCGCCTGTCAATCTCACGCTCCATCCTCCCCTCACTCGTGAACAAGACCCCGAGATACTTGAACTCCTCCACTTGAGGAAGGACCTCTCCACCCACCTGCAGAGGGCAAGGCACCTTTTTCCGGTCGAGCACCATGGCCTCGGATTTGGAGGTGCTGATTCTCATCCCAGCCGCTTCGCACTCGGCTGCAAACCGTCCCAGTGCATGCTGCAGGTCCTGGTTCGTTGGAGCCAACAGGACGACATCATCCGCAAAAAGTAGAGATAAAATCCTGTGGTTCCCGAACCGGACCCCTCCAGCCCCTGACTGCGCCTAGAAATTCTGTCCATAAATACAGTGAACAGAACCGGTGACAAAGGGCAGCCTTGGCGGAGGCCAACATGCACCGGGAACAGGTCTGACTTACTGCCGGCAATGCGAACACAGCTCTGACTCCGGTCATACAGGGACCGGACGGCCCTCAGCAGAGGACCCCGGACCCCGTACTCCCGGAGGACCCCCCAAAGGACACCCCGGGGAACACGGTCGAACGCCTTCTCCAAATCCACAAAGCACATGTGGACAGGTTGGGCGAACTCCCATGAACCCTCGAGTATCCGATGGAGAGTATAGAATATATATAGAGAGTCCAGTGTTCCGCGACCGGGACAAAAACCACACTGCTCCTCCTGAATCCGAGATTCGACCATCGGACGTAGCCTCCTCTCCAGTACCTTGGAGTAGACCTTACCGGGGAGGCTGAGGAGTGTGATCCCACGATAATTGGAACACACCCTCCGGTCCCCCTTCTTGTAGAGAGGGACCACCACCCCGGTCTGCCACTCCATTGGTACCGCCCCCGATCGCCACGCGATGCTGCAGAGACGTGTCAGCCAAGACAGTCCTACAACATCCAGAGACTTTAGATAGTCAGGACTGATCTCATCCACTCCCGGCGCCTTGCCACCATGGAGGCTGCCAACCACCTTGGTGACCTCGGCCAGGGAGATGTAAGTATCCGCCCCAACATCCTCAGCCTCTGCCTCCTGGACGGAGGACGTGACGGGGGGATTGAGGAGAACCTCGAAGTATTCCTTCCACCGCCCGACAATATCCCCAGTCGAGGTCAACGGCCCTCCACCCGCACCATACACGGTGTTGGCAAAGAACTGCTTCCCCCTCCTGAGGCGCCGGACGGTTTGCCAGAACCTCTTCGAGGCCGACCGATAGTCATGCTCCATGGACTCTCCGAACTCCTCCCAGTCCCGGGTTTTTGCCTCTGCAACAGCCCGGGCCGCGGCACGTTTGGCCTGCCGGTACTGGACAGCTGCCTCAGGAGTCCCACGAACCATCATTGCTCGATAGGACTCCTTCTTCAGCCTGATGGCATCCCTTACTGCCGGTGTCCACCACCGGGTTCGGGGATTGCCGCCGGGACCAGCACCAGAGACCTTGCGACCACAGCTACGAGCCGCCGCATTGGCGATAGAGGAAGAGAACATGGTCCACTCGGACTCGATGTCCCCCTCCTCTGCCGGGACCTGGGAGAAGCTCTCCCGGAGGTGTGAGTTGAAAGTCCGTCTGACAGGGGGCTCAGCAAGACGTTCCCAGCAAACCCTCACTACACGCTTGGGCCTGCCAGGTCTGACCGGCCTCCTGCCCTGCCAGCGGATCCAACTCACGACCAGGTGATGATCGGTTGACAGCTCCGCCCCTCTCTTCACCCGAGTGTCCGAGACACGCGGCCGAAGGTCAGATGATACGACAACAAAGTCGATCATCGACCTCCGGCCTAGGGTGTCCTGGTGCCACGTGCACTGATGGACACCCTTGTGCTTGAACATGGTGTTCGTGATGGACAGGCCGTGACTGGCACAGAAGTCCAACAACTGAACACCGCTCGGGTTCAGATCAGGGGGGCCGTTCTTCCCGATCACCCCTCTCCAAGTGTCACTGGCATTTCCCACATGGGCGTTGAAGTCCCCCAGGAGAATAACGGAGTCCCCGGGCGGTGCACTGTCCAGTACCCCTCCCAAGGACTCCAAGAAGGCCGGGTACTCTGCACTACCGTTAGGCCCGTAGGCCGTCACAACAGTGAGAGACTTGTCCCCCACCCGGAGGCGGAGGGACGCGACCCTCTCATTCGGGGAGAACTCCAACACGTGGCGGCTGAGATGGGGGGCAATGAGTATGGCCACCCCAGCTCGCCGCCTCTCCCCGCGGGAAACACCAGAAAAGTGGAGCGTCCAACCCTTCTCAAGGAGTTGGGTTCCAGAGCCCAAGCTGTGTGTGGAGGTGAGGCCGACTATCTCTAGTCGGTATCGATCAACCTCCCCCACAAGCTCGGGCTCCTTCCCCCCCAGTGAGGTGACGTTCCACGTCCCAAGAGCCAGATGTTGGGTGTGTGGACTGGGTCGTCGAGGTCTCCGCCTTCGACTGCTGCCCAGTCCTCTCTGCACCTCGCCACCACGGACCCCTCTGCAGGTGGTGGGCCCACAGGAGGGACTGCCTACGTCATCCCTTCGGGCTGAGCCCGGCCGGGCCCCGTGGGCTAAGGCCCGGCCACCAGCCTGCGCTCGCTTGCGAGCCCCGACCCCAGGCCTGGCTCCAGGGTGGGGCCCCGGCTGCGCCATGCCGGGCGACGTCACGGTTCTCATTGTCGTGCTGTCCATGGTTGGCTTCGGAGCCACCTAGTTTTATTTGCGATCTGATACGTATGCTAACATTAGCATTAGCACAACTTCTTGTAAGCTGTACAACAATCACTGATTAAATGGCACTAAAGCAATGCACTGCTAACACAATATATAAGTAAAAGAATACCGCTAGTTTCGCGTCCGAAAGTATTAATTTAAACATTAGAATATATTCTAATAGTTAATTATAATTTATTATACAGCTCCTTACAGCAACAGCACTCCATGGACTTGAATGCAATTCTTCATCATAATTTTTTCTTGATAACAGAACTCTCAAACCAATAATGACCGCAGCCCCAAGGCAATTTCTGTTTGTAATTCAGGTGTGTAAAATACTGCCATTACTCCGCAAGTACAACAAGCTATCAGCGCCTGTCACTACACTGTGCAGTTTCTCTGCACACTTGTCTGTGTAGAGAAGCTAGCGGAGCTAGCCACGCTCAATAAACAAATACATATCTATCAATCAACACCATTAAACGTTAATCGGACAAAACAGTATACATATACATCCTTAACACACATGCACGGACGATTTCAGAATTTTCTTTCAACGTTTTCATGACAAAAATACTGTTTTAAAGTGAAAAAAAGCGATCGCGAAAAACCCGGAAATTACTATGAAACAGCTAGCTAGCGTAGCTGTTACCTGCCTAGCACGTCCCGGTGAAACCTTTGGGAGCTAACTATTTTATTTGCAGTCATTAAATACATTTCGAATTACAAGGGCTGTCTAATATTTGTTCAAATATATATATATTTTTTATTTTAGAATTATATTCAAATTTTGAAGTCGAAGCCCTGGTGTTAAAGGACAACTCACCCTCAAATCCACTTTTTTTTGCTGATAAACGGTATAAATGAGTGTCCAATAGTGTTGTCTACATATCCTGGTCATAATTTTGTCACTTTGGTGCAAATTAGTTGAAAGTTAGACTTTCTGCCTAAAACCGTCTGTGAGGCGCCATCTGCTGGCGACCTGTATTACTACATTTGAATTTTGAATCTGGCGCCAACACTGGCACAGAAGTTGGACCTGACGTCTGCAAGTTGGACCTGACGTCAGCAGCCCCCCGCCCAGAGCAATGTAAACGGCCCAGTCTCGTTCACGCCCCCTTTAGTCCTCCAGGCTACGCCCATTTAGAGGAAGATTTGAACAGGAAATGTGAGTGACGTAAGCTCCGAGGAGCGGGGGTGAGAACCACTTTAAGCAGCGCTGTAGAGGCTAGAGGACGCAGGCTGTTCGCTGGTCATTCTGTGAGTGGAGGAGAACGAGCGTCCCGCTCAGACTCTACTCAGCACTTTTCACGGCTTGAATTTCATACACAGTGGAATCAATGACCTCAAGTTTTTAAATAAATTATGTATTATGATACAACTTGTATGTAGTAAAAAGCATTTTTATGAACTACTTAGAAAAAAAATAGGATATAGCTTCTTTAATAATGTATAAGTATAATGTGTTCTCTGATTAACATTTAAAAGTGTTACGGAAACGTAGGCATAGACCAATCAGAAAGGAAGGGGGAGGGAGCTTGCGTTTTTTTCAAATCAAGTTCCTCTCTCTCTCTTTTTCTGACAAACTCCAGACAATCACTTTAATGAACACTCCGTCTGCGTCTGCGTCTAAGGCTGCAGTACCACAGTCAATCACCAAGCAGCAGACCGGCTTAGGCACAAACACCCTTAAGGTCATATTATACATCTGTGGTTGGCGCTCATGTTAGAGACGGGACGACATTAGTAGTAGTACTAGTAGTGTGTTTATTTCGAATTAATTGCGCAATACAAAAAAAAAAGAAGAAACATATAAACATATATATACACAATTCGAAAAGGAGTAGGTAGAAGTGAAACTTATGCTTCCTACCCCTTGTTACAAACTTTTCTCTTTACAGGAGTTCAAATGATATACAGGCATACTGTATTTCTCTCAGATATACAATTTACACTCGTCTCCATGAATAGTAATTTTAAATGCTGATTTAACACCATTACAAACCTTCACCACCGGGAGCCACATGTCCTTGTTTGCAGAGAAGCCATGGAGCAGCAGCAGAGATGGAGCGCCCCCTGGAGTCCCCCGAGTGGAATAACAGAACCTGTAGGAGTCCACGAAAGCAAACCGAACCGACAAACCCAGCCTCCATCTCCAGAACCTGAGAATGCAAAGAAATTGTGTGAAGCTGGTCTGAAGCAGGACTGAACAAGTTCTGAAGAAGATCTGAACCAGGAATAAACAGATTTTACCAGTTGTAGGTCCTGATGAGGACCCCAGGCCGAAAGACGAGGGTGGTGACGAAAAGGAAGACAGGAAGTAGAATCGCACTTCCTGTTAACATCAACACTTTAGCCACGCCCCCCTCCATCTGTAAAAAACAATAACATCGCTATTATGATCAGTAGATTACTGGAGGTTACCACTAGGTGGCGTTGTTGATATGCATGATGATAACCTGTAGAGGGACAGTGGTGTAATGACCTCGAGATGAACATGATTAAAAGTAGCTCCCTGAACAACTCGTTGTATTATTAAAACACAATCACAACTTGGTACCAGGAGTAAACTAAGTAGCTGAGAAGCCGCCGGAGAAATTAACATGGATTTGAAACCGCCAGAAAACTTGAACCTGACGGGAAATGTGGACGAAAATTGGCGAAGTTTCAAGCAGCAGTTTAGCCTCTTAGTCACCGCGATGGGACTGGAAACCAAGCCTGACACAAGGAAGGTAGCACTTTTGCTAACATTAGCAGGGCCGCACGCCATTGAAGTGTACAATACGTTCGTGTTTGATACACAGGGAGACAATGAAAAGCTGTATGTAGTGCTCGCTAAGTTTGAAGCTCACTGTACTCCAAAGAAAAACGAGACATATGAAAGATATACGGTGGGGCAAAAAAGTATTTAGTCAGCCACCACCCACTAAGCAAGCCAACGTTGAATCAACGTAATTTGAACGTCGTTGTCCGACGTAGAATATAGGTCACTGGTGGGTGCAGAATGAAAGTTTTCTCGACGTCGTTTCCCGACGTCACCTCAACCTCTAAATGTTACGTTGATGGCACGTCAATTCAAGGTTTGAATGTGGTACGGAACCGGTCGGGTCTGACGTCCTATCAACGTCTAATATGACCAAAATATTGACGTTTATATGACGTTCGTTTTCAGTCGTTCCCACTAAGCAAGCAGATGTCAAAACAACGTAATTTCAACGTCATCTGGACGTTCATTCAAGGTTGCAATGTGGTACAGAACCAGTCGGGTCCGACGTCCTATCAACGTCTTATATGACCAAAATATTGCCTTCATATGACGTTCGTTTTCCGGTGTTCCCACTAAGCAAGCAGATGTCAAAACTATGTAATTTCAACGTCATCTGGACGTTATCTGGACGTTCATTCAAGGTTGCAATGTGGTACAGAACCGGTCGGGTCCGACGTCCTCTCGACGTCTTATATGACCAAAATATTGACGTTTATATGACGTCCATTTACAGTCCTATTGACCTCTGCAGAATCACTCACTGGTCGAGACATACTTTTTGCAATAGGCAAGGCAAGTTTATTTGTATAGCACAGTCAAAACAAAAGGAAACTCAAAGCACTGAACAAAAGATAGAAACAATCAAACAAGGCATTACAATTATAAATATTGACAGTAAATTAAAAAGATACAAGTAAAATCTCTCATAAAATCTCTCAGTTGAAGCAGAAACAGAAGTGTTTTAAACCTGGATTTTAACATTGTCAAAGAAGAAGCCTGTCTCACATTTCCAGGAAGACCGTTCCAGATTTTAGCCTTGTGAATCTGAAATGCAGCTTTATCATGTTTAGTTCTGACTCTGGGCAATAAACGATAAACACAGCATTCAAAAATCATTAGAACAACTGTAGTAGAAGGATATCAGTCATTATTGCAAATGGAGCTGCATTAAAAATCATGTTTCTCTACATCAAAGTACAAGTTAAACCACACAGGGCACAGTGTTATGAACACTACTGAACTGAACAGTTCATGCCAAAGTAAAAAAACATGATTGTAGCGCCTATGTTTGGATCAGTATTAAAACAGGCACAAGCTACACTCTAGGTTCCCCAGATGTAAAAACACAATCTGAAAGGCAGAAGAATGCATTTATTGAATGTTGAGGTTCCAACATGTGTCCTCTCTTGGTCTTCAGTCTCATAAGGTCCAAGCACAGCACCTGAAAATGTGGAACATGTTTAGTTTCAACATAATGTGGCAAAGTGATATAACAACACATAACTTTCTATTAATGCCTCAAACCACTCGATCCATCACCATGTGATACAAACCTTGGCACTAGCTCGAGACACTGGAAGACACTCCGTCTGAGAAACTTGGGATAAGGCTTTGGTCATTGGAGTAATTCCATGTAAAAAACAATTGCAAATGTGCATTTGTTTTGCACATGGACACAAATGAGCCCTGAAAGCTACTTACCCTGTATTACTCTACACATGTTGCATTTCCGAGGGGGCATTTTCCCCTTGTTGCTCTTTTCCCTCATCTTGAGTGAGTTGATAGATATAAATAGATGTTTTCAAAGAGAATACACCAAATAATGGTTTATTTCTAAAAACATAATAATACAGAAGAACAATCAATGTGTGAGAGTGTGATTCTTACCTTTGAACACCTTCAACACAGTCTGACACCTGTAAGACTCAAACACACATGACACATTAGGAATACACATAGAACATTAGTTAATGCAACAATCATGAAATTATACTCTATGGATTTCACAATAATTGACTGCATTAGCAAAGGTAAATGAATTTTAATTAACATATGGCTGGTTTTAAATTTTATAAGAAAAAGTAAGAAATTGAATAGAGTTGCAAGCGCTAGTTAGCTTGCTACCAGCAGATGAATGGATATTTAATATTTGCAGCTAACAATAACAAAAATAACAACTGTAGTGGCTCATTTAAACAGCCACAGTGAGAAGAAGTGAAAGTGTCTAACATTGAAGACATTAAATCCATTTATTAAACAAAGCAATACATGAACATTAAACTCTCTTTCTGCAGCAGGTAACATCTGTGTGCTCCTATGGTCCCACATGGTCCCACATGGTCCCACACCTGAACTCAACTCCAACTGATGACATCACAGGTGTCTAAATGATGGGAGTGTCCCAAATATTAAAGCTGATCTCCCCGTTTTTAAACTTAGTTTACTAAGTACTGTTGTCTTTTTGCAGTTTATAAACCATTGTGAAATATACAGTAACTTTACATTTTACAATTAGAATTGAATTATTATTTTAAAACTCAAGAATCTTAACCTTTTTTAACACATAGTTTGTTGGACAGTCTAACCTAAGAATTCTAATGTGTTAAAAATAGTTTGAAATATGAAAAACAATATCATATTTTAAACTTTAACTTAAAAACTAAAAAAGGTGTCTCCCTTTCAGCTGAGCAGTGCCAGCCGTTATTATTATAGATTCATGTACTGGCAATTCAAAATACAGATAATATACAATATACTTAACAAAATCCACGTATACGTGAGAAAACAACTTACTTTCTGTCGCCAACTCTTTTCAATGTGGAAATGATACATTATCTAAAAACTGTGCAGACTGTGTACTTACTAGAGAGGGTTATTCCAAGTAAATAAAGCAGGGCAGCGACAGAGGTACAGATTCAACGTCATATCAACGTCTGGGAAGGCATTGCTTTACGTCCAGATGCACACCTTACGTCGTTTAGACGTGGAAAACAGGTCCTCGACCGAGCGACTCACGTGTCAGGCTGTAACCTCGCATAAGTGTGCGTCGGTTGTTTAGGGTGTTATCTATGATCTTTTCACAGAAGTCAGAAATAATGCCTGGCTGTGGTGTAGCGGTTGCGTAATGAGACTTCAGTCGCAACGACACGGGTTCAAATCCACGTTGGAAAATTTTTGACTTTTCACTTTTTAGCGAACAATTTTTCTCTGTTTGGTTAAAAACGAATAAACACTCAACATAAGATTATGTAGTGGCTAATAATAAAACTTGTGAACCCATGCATTTGTATAAAATCTCAAGTGCTCACCCCTTATTTGCAAACTTGAGATTGTTAGCACAACAACTGCATACATTCACAAGTTTTATTATTAGCCACTACGTAATCCTATGTTGAGTGTTTATTAGTCTTTAACCAAACAGAAAAAAATTGTTCGCTAAAAATCGAAACAAATATGTAAAGATAATGATACACACACGTGGAGTCGAACACACGTATCCAAGGCTGCACACATTTGCTTATCCACTACACTACCGTCAGGTACACTTGGATTGCTTCACAGCCTATATATGGTATTGCTAGATCAAGACGTACTGCGTCGGTCGGCCGATGACCTGTTTTCCACGTCTAGGGGAGGTCGGGATTGGACGTCATATCCACGTATATGGGAGGTCATTGTTTTACGTCCAGAAGCGCACCTTGCACAGACATCGTTTGGACGTAAATAAAAGGTCACGACCGACCGACGCAATATTGACGTGATCTGGAGGTTGAGTGGACGTTGGATGTTTAGTGGGCAATTGTGCAAGTTCTCCCACTTGAAATAATGACAGAGGTCTGTAATTTTCATCATAGGTACACTTCAACTGTGAGAGACGGAATGTGAAAAAAAAATCCAGGAATTCACATTGTAGGATTTTTAAAGAATTTATTTGTAAATTATGGTGGAAAATAAGTATTTGGTCAATAACAAAAATTCAACTCAATACTTTGTAAAATAACCTTTGTTGGTACTAACAGAGGTCAAACGATTACTATAGGTCTTTACCAGGTTTGCACGCACAGTATCTGGTATTTTGGCCCATTCCTCCATGCAGATCTTCTCGAGAGCAGTGAACACGGACTTTCAACTCCCTCCACAGATTTTCAATGGGGTTGAGGTCTGGAGGCTGGCTAGGCCACTCCAGGACTTTCAAATGCTTCTTACGGAGCCAGTCCTTCGTTGCCCGGGCGGTGTGTTTGGGATCATTGTCATGCTGGAAGACCCAGCCACGTTTCATCTTCAAAGCTCTCACTGATGGAAGGCGGTTTTGGCTCAAAATCTCATGATACATGGCCCCATTCATTCTTTTCTTAAAGTGATAGTCTGTAACTCTAAATGAATTACAAATTTTAGGAAATGTGTTAAATTGACCTCCTGGCCTTAAATGTTGATATAAAATAAGTAATTTTATTAATTCTAATATTACGGGCAAGTCCCGCCTTCCCTGCTCTTAGCTATAGCTCAGAATCCACGGTGCCGTCGAGGTTAACCAATCGAGTCATGCCAAGGGCTGTCAATCATCGGCGCTGATGCCCGCAGCTGCGCGCATGCTCAGTTGTTTGT